CGAGGAGGGAGGACACGCCAGGCCCCTCAGGCAGAGCTGCTGTGTCCGGACCCCTCAGCGAGCATGGCGGTGCAGTGCGCCCCGGGGAGCATCTGCAACCTCCTGCCCCGCCTGGAGGGGAAGCCCCACAAACCTCCCAGGTAGGTGGGTGTGACAGCAGCACTTGCACACGCGGTGGCTGGTTCTGGCAAGGCAACACATCGTACTGGTAAGAGGTATTAAAAAAAAAAATTAGATTTTGCGTAGTTACTGTGCCTCCTAAGGAGTCCCATCTGAGGGGGAACAGCCTGCTCCCGTGAGCTGACGGTTCAGTTTGATATCTTCAGTGCCATCGTGTTCAGTGACAAAGAACTCACAAAGCACGCTTTCTATGCAGAGGAATTACATGACATCTTTGTTACTTGCACTTATACCAATTTTTAGGTGAGCAGCTGGAGGTTTCTTTTTTTTTTTCGTTTTCCTCAGTGCCACACTTCCATTCTTTTCACGTGTCAAGTGTGTCTTTGGACATTGTTACTTTTGCTTCTCTTTCTCATCCCTTACCTTAAAAAACATTAAGAATGCCTTTTGATCACCTAGTATTAATTCCTTAGAGAGTTTTTGTAAAGTTCTTATTGATAATTACACAAGCATATGTTGTTTTTTCAGGTCCGTGTTATTTAATATGAAAGAAAGCTGTTACAGTTAGCATTTTCAGCGAAAGGTTAATGTAGGTCATAACTCAGTAGCTTTAAAATGAGTAGAAATATCAGTAATACTCCTTAGAACAAAGATAGTTATCCTTTTTCAGGTAAAAGGGTTCAGGCTGGGGAGATTCCTAGTTCTGAACCTTTTCCATGTAAAAATAGATAATCTTTTATTTCCAATGTGGATGAAAGATGCTTTTGGCAGACAGAGGAAAGTGAAATGACAGTATGGCAAGACACGCAGCACACTAAATTCAATCCTGTCTTAATACTGTTCAGGGATTTGGCCACTGCATGACCATCAGGTTCTGTTTAGGCAAGGGATTCATGCTTTAGTTTGGATGCAATCTGACTAAATCCCCTTCCAATCTCATTGATTTCTCTTGTCACCCCACTTCCTGCTTTGGTTTGCAATGTGCCAAATACCCATCTGGGAACAACAGTGTTGAACCTGGTTAACAGCGTGATCTGACCACTTTTAACTAATGTATACAAAATCTAGCTTTTTTTTTTTTTTTTTTTTTCCACATTAGATCACATATATTTCACTCTGAACTGATCAGGTACTACTTACGAAACCAAGGTAAACATCTTAATCTTCCCCAGCTTTGATGTCCCAAGATGACACTTAAGGAAGAGTAACCGTCTTTGTACAGATGTATTGTCTTTTCTCCCCTTGCCAAATAATGAATGGATTAAGATTCTCAAGCCTCCCATAACCATGATTTCTTCCTTGCAACCCTCTCTCTAATCCTATGTATGTTATGTATGACAGCGTTTAGCCACTTTCTTGGCCTGAAAAGTCACTGAAAAAATACAACTGCCACATTTCTTTGACCAAAGGAATGCCTATAGCTGTCCACGAAAGACATCTTTAAAAGAAACATTAAACCTTATGACAATATGTAATAAACTCAATACCTTCTCCTTCATTTTCTCATTCCAAGACTGTGCAAACCCTGCTAGATCAAACTTTCTCTACTGTGTGGCTACGATGCCACTCCTAGCAAATGTTGAGGAACGCAGTAATTTATGAATGTGGTGGGTTTGTGCCTATGTCTGTGGCTGTTTGCCATGAATTTAACAGAAAAAATAAACAAACCCTCATTCTTTGTAATTAGAGGTATTTCTGGAATTATATATAATCTTATGTACATAATCCTCTTTCTAATTTTGGAGACCAAATCTCCAGAAGACAAAATAACTCCACATTTTTAATTAAGTCCTCTTACATTTTCTAATGTTATGATCAAGTACAAATACATGTGTCAGAAATTTACGGCTCATATACAAAAGCTTTTATCAGTGTTTCTACAATTATTCCTATTCACTGGCCCAGCATTACATCGTTTCTTTCATCCTATTTCAGTACTTTTGTAAAATAAGTTGCATTATGTGTAATCTTTTTGTTCTTTATTTCCTTATCTGAAAACATGGTAGAGTTTTTTCATAAACACATTTTTTATGTGAAAGAAGAGCACAGCTGTTCACCAGTTTTTGTCTACCATAAGTTAATATGGCACGTTTCCTAAAGATGGACAGATTTTAAAAGATACAATGAGGCAGCCTTAGCTTCAAGAGCAGGGAGTTCTGCTCCTTCAGGAAAACATCTGTGATAGCTCAGCCCTTCAGATAGAGGCAAGATGCTGTTAATCAGCTCTAGATCAGCATTTGGCTTCTTCTGGAGAATATGTTTGTGTACTTCTGACTAAAGCAGAAGTTACAGTGCCATATGCAACCTTACGCCAAAACAGGAGTGTGTGCATACTGTGTGCATACAGCTTTTCATGTCTGAGCCGTTACTGATTTTCACATTGGCCTTTTCAGTTAGTGCCAAAACCACCACTGATTACAATAGGTCAGGATCATAGTTCAGATCTGTGTAATGTAAGAAATATACTGTTTGTTGTGCTGTTTTGGAGCAGTCATCCATCTCACCTAATCTCTGATAGTAGTCTGTAACAGATGGTTCAACAGGAACATTGAGACGATGATACAGTGGACAATAATAAGATACGCTGATGAACAAGGACATTCTGTCCAATTCTTGACTGCGTTTGACATGTTTTATGAAGCATAAGGTTTTGCATACCTCTAAAATACATTTCAACCCATAGAATGAAGCAGTGAATGTTCTCGTTATCAATACAGATCTCATCTTTTTTGAAGCCAGCTGAGCTTTTCCTTAGGTGTGTTTGACTGCTGTGTAAGGCCCTACAAGGTACGACAACTGCAGCTTCTGAAACAGCCAAGATACCTTGGCATACTCATACTACAAACTTTAAAATGTAGAAAATCTAGCAAAATAGGTTCATGACTACTGTTCCATAGAGATGCACAACAGATGCATACTTTTGATGCATTTTTGAACAAAACAAATAGCTACGTTAAAAAAGCTTTTCAAAATTGAGTTAAAGACCAAAGTATGTAATGCATTGCCTCATAAAAATAATTAATTCATGCAAGCCATACTCAAAGCCGTTTATTTCCAAAATTTAGGTTTTGTCAAGTTTCAAAATGTCCATGTTCAGTATTTACATGAACAGTGTATACAGGAGACATTTCCCAAAGTGTGTTAATACTGACCTTGGAGACACAAGAGAAGAAGCAACCTAACTTCAGAAGTACAACTTGTCAGTGCAATGCTGGGCTTGGCTTTAGTATGGAGGTTGTATGAATGATGGTCTTTATGTGGGAGAGAGTACAGAACAAAATAGCTTAGGCTTTTGGCATGAACGACTGCAAAAATGTATACTCTTTGAAAAAGTATTTTTAATAATTTTCTGACTTTTAACTTCTTTGTGGCTATTTTTTAATGTCTAAGGTATATATCCACATTTAGACCATCTGTGAAATGTGAAGCAGAGAAGAATAAAGCTCAGTGGAAAACTATGGGACCAGCGAAAGTTGCAGTGCCATCTCCAAAAAACTTTCTGCAGAAACATTCAAAGGAACCCAAGCTACCAGCAAGTAGGTGTAGACATGAAATATATGAAATGCGATTTATTTTTTTTATTTAAAAATGGATAGTATTAACGTTCAAAGTAACAGTTAATTATGGCAAATCAAATTTAAAAAACCAAAATTTTTGTATGCTAGGGCAGTTTCCTTTGTTTTTTTAAATGTATCTATGGTACCAAAATTATTTCCCTATTTTACAAACATGTTTCTTATTTAGTGTGGTAAATACTGAAACAAGCAACAAGGAGATCATGCATGTGTTTAGAAAATACAGTAAGCATTTACTGCTATGTGGTATAAAACCAGCTGAAATAAAAAGAAAAATTATATCTCTTTTGGCTGCAGCTATTCAGATGCTGAAGATATGTTGATGGTATGTTTTATCCTGCTGATGTTTTAATTTGTAATTATGTAGTTTAGATTTGTACATCAACATTTTCTGCAACTGAACATTAATATTAAATTGCATAATATAAATGTGGGTATTAAAAGTGAGCTAATTGTTTTTAATGCTTGAAGAGATATGGGAAAAGTATGTGGGCCTTTCTTGATGTTACAACCAACATACAGCTTTTACTCTTCAGCACTCACTGTTGGCTCTTAATCTCATAGCATTAAATTGTCTGGCAGAATTTTTTGGAGAGCTGTATGTCCCAGAAATAAGGAAAGTGGAATATTATGTTGCAAAATGCATCCTGTCTTTGAGGACAAACCATAATTCTGGGTATAAGGACCTGACAGTTCTAATGTTCAGCCTCATAGCTGGTTCTGCAAGGGTGGAGTGGCCTTAGTGCTGCTGGGAGTTCTAAGTACATTGCTGTCAGAATTTGTGATTGAGTTACAAGATTTCAATTTGAAATCGGTTTTTAGCCTGGAAAAATAGAAAAGTTTAACATACAGTATTAAAACAAAAGCTGTCTAAGAGAATGTAGGAGTCCAGCACACAAATTTGTGTGACACATGCAAATGGCTTTAGCACTGAAAATACAGGGTGTCTCAGGAGGCTTTGGAGGCTTAATGCCTCAGGCAATAAGGATTATTAGAACCTTAAGGCAAGCTTTGGTCCCAGAGGTCCCGTAGGCATGCTGGGTCATTTTTGAATGAAGTCTTCTTTCAGGAAATCTGAACAGCATTCAGTGTACCAGACTGTACTGCTTCATGACATCTGAGCATGAATGCTTCCAAGCTCAAGACCTTGTTGAAAAACCACACTAGTGTTTTAGATGGGCATAGGAAAGAAGGTTCATTGACCAATAATTTGGAGAAGTCCGTAAGATCCCTTTTAAGTACTTGTATTATAAAATTGGTGTTATCTACTTCAAATCTGCTATATATTGAGATACAGCTCTCTGACCCATTTTTCTTAGACAAACAGCTCACAATGTTTCTTTTTCAACTTGTTGATTCAGGGCTTCATAATAACAATTGTGCTTTGGTGTTTGCATTTGCAGTCAATCTACCAGAGCCTCAAAATTACTATAACACATCACAGCTTCAATCCAGCCTAGTAATTTCATTGCCATAATTAGATCCTAACAGATCTTGAGAAGGAACTGTATAATTAACTCAGAGCATTCTTGTACCTTTGTTAGATGGAATTTCATACCTGCCTCAGAGAAGTTATGCTGCTTTATCACCTATTTTAAAGCATGGCACTTTCAGCACTTGGAGTTTAACCAGTTATCAGTTGTCTAAATGGGATTATGGAGTTCTGTTTGTGGTATCTGTGCTGCCTTCAAAACTAGGTTTGATTCAATTAGTTAAAAAATGGATTGCAAGGACAGAACAGAAAGATTGAATTTTTTTCCCTAAAGTCTGGGAGAGTGTAATTCTTTCAGAGTCTGGTTACTTACTACTTCCTTACATAAAGGTGTGTTTCCTAACCTTCAGCTGAATCTTCTTGTAACTGGACTCTGGCATTCCTTTTAACCAAGCTTGGTTGCTGGCTCCAGAAGAAGTGGGGGGCTCCCAAAACAGCAAATGTGCACCCGTGTACCACAGATAAGGGGGAGCTAGTGCTCACTGAGAAGCTTCAAATATCTTGTTTCCAAAACGACATCCTAAGAGAAACAGAGATTTAAGTCTGTGTGTCCTACAGTACTAAGATATGGCAAGCTATCACATTGTAGAAACAAAACCCAGGAAAGCACCTGTTTGTGGGGTCAGTATCAGGAAACCAGCTGTTGTAGGAATGAGCTCTGTCACTTGTGACATTGCACTTTTTGCCAAAGAACATGAACTCAGACAACCTGAATCAAATCATTATCTCTAATGACTGTGAGTTAGAGATTTATCTGGTGGAAAATACAGTGGGAAATTGTCTTTCATCACTTACTTGAAGTGAGACTACTCGGGAGACTGCCGACTTTGTGTTAGTGCCTGGGAAAGAAAAGATTACACTAAAAAGGAAGAATTTCTGTGTTCTTTGGAGAAAGGATTGTGAGAAGTTGTTTATGAGTGTTAGGGAGCAACAAGAGCAGGGCTCTTCCCTAAGGGGAGGTGAACCAGGAACTCAGGGCAGCCACAATGCAGGCCGGGCAATGACCTCACCGAGAAGGTGCGGTCCCACCACCCCAGAGGCAGGCAGACTGGGTGATGTTGAAAATGTGTCCTGTCAGTGGCCTAGTGACTGTGGCCATCAGGTAAGATGGGGTAACAGGCCAGGTGCATCTGCTGATTCCATACAGCTTGTCAGGAACAGGACTGGGGGCAGGCATGCCTGAGACAGCTCAGCCAGGCACTGACTGCCCAGTGAGCTGAAATGGGGTTTCTGAGCCCAAGGGGGTGGGGTGGATGTTCCAGGTGAGGCTGGGCAGGGCCATTAATGCCTAAGGGCATCTCTAGTAAAAGTAGTTTTAATGACATTTGAAAGAGGTCCCATACTACTGCAGCTAAGAGGAAACGAGTGGCATATTATACGGCAAACCCATCTAAAACAACATAGTATTCCCTAGGTTATGAAACTTCTGTTATGCCAAACAAGGATACTCATTTTCATCATACTACATTCCCAGTCAATTCTTTCTTTGTAGATACAGTTGGTTTCTATTTTTATGTAATTTTGTACATTATTTTCCCTCTTGAAAAATGTAATAAAATTAAATTGCAAAGCTCTTCACAGTTATTGCTGAAAATGTTTACATGCACAATTCACAGGAAAAAAAGAACAGGATAGGAAGAAATTGCCTGCATTATCAGTACCACGGAGGACAGATCGCCCAGTTATGGGAATTCAGAGTAAAAATAATTTTATAAATACAAATGCAGTTGCTGCTATCACGGGATTGCCTAAAAAACCTCAACCTATTTATGTTGATAGAAGACAAGGAGATAAATATCTGCTTGAAACTTCAGGACTTGTTCCAAAATATATTAAAAAAAAGGTAAGTTTTATTAAATTATAGTGGAAATACTAGTAGCAGTGATTATTTTTAGGTTCTCTATTGCATTCTCCTATGAAATCTTTATGATTCTTTTTGAGATGTTTAGATACCACTGCTGTTTGTGGTAGACCTTTGAAATTCATCAAGGAGAAATCACTGGCACTAGAGTTGCACCTTGCCTTTGCTCTGTATTCACTTGATTATGCTGTCAGCAAAAAATTGGCATAATGATGCTGCTGAAACAGTAGCATATGCATTGCATTGGGAATCCAGGGAGTATCTAATGGGGAGATAAATGGAGTTCTGTGATGGATGAAAGCTGGCTCTTTAGGAAAGACAGGCAGGGAAGAAGAGTAGGGGTTGCCCTTTGGGTGAAGGAGCTGTTCATGTATATGGAGCTCTTATGAAATTGGCAACAGGCTGATTGACCTTATGGGTCAGGATCAGAGGAAAGGCCAGAAGTGTCAAAAGCGTGTTTGTTATGGACCATCCAGTCAGGTGAGGAACTGGATGAAATCTTTAAGCAACCAGAGGATATCTTCAGATCACGGTGCAGGGAAGACTTCACCCTCCTTGATATCTGCTGAAAGGACAACACAATGGACTGAAAGCAATCCAGAAAGTTTCCTGGAGCATGTCAGCAACAGCTTCTTAACACAGATGGTTGGTGAGACAACCAGTGGTCATGCTTTTCTGGTTCTGCCACTTACAAATGAGAAAGAACTAGTCAGAGATGTGATAATCAATAGCAGTTTTGGTTGCACAGGCCATGAAGTAGTTCAAGATCCCCTCCTCCTCAGGGGAGGAGGAGATTGAAGTACAGACCCTGTACTTCAGGAGAGCAAACACCAGCTTATTCAGGGAACTAGTAGGTAGGACCCTGTGGGAGACAGCTCTGAAAAACAAATGAGCTTGAGAGAGCTGTCATGCTTTTAAGGACAATCTCCTCCAAGCACCAGAACAGTCCATTCCACTACTCGGGGAAGCAACATGAATCAGGAGTCTGGCTTACGTAAACAGGTAATGCATGACAGAGCATTGTGCAAAAAGAGACATGACACATAACTCACAACAGAGAAGATGGACCAGCAAAAAAGTGAACCTGCAACCCTTGCAGTACCTTTGCATGGCTAAACATATACATAAACAACGCTAGTCATAGTGCTACCCAACACTAAAAGATTTGTGAATCATTTAGCATTTCGTAGAAAGACGGTAGACTCCAGTACCCTCTGGCAAGGCTAGATAAGCTTCATTTTACAAAGGATAAGTGAAAATAGGTGTGTTCCCCCAAGTATATCTGGGATATTCAGAAAATATTTTTCCTTCCAGAAACACAATTCTGCCACATTTGGTGTAGGACAGTTTGTCATTCCTAACTAGTCCAATTTGTATGTACGTGTTAACACTATTCACCCTCTTCCGTGGCATGCAGTGTTCAGCAAAAATTAGGCTACAGGAAGACCTTTCAAATAAAGTGTCTAAGGAATGCATTTCAGAATATAGAATCTGACACCATAAAATATGTAAAACAGCTTGCTGTCATTAACAGGTTTCAAACTCCTCACTCAACCATCAGTTCTTATAAATAGATGTTTTGGTTTCTGGATTCTGTTGTTTTCCAAGGCTGAAAAAAAAAATTGAAGGGAATTGTTTATATGTTCTGTTCAGGCTACAGAGACAATCATGTTTGATACGTCTAAGAACACAGTGATTTAAGATTTAATTGTTTGGTGGCACAAAATTCCATTTCAGGCTGTCTTTGCAAAGGTAATATACTATGGATGATGTGTGTGTCTTTGTTCCCTTCTTAAAAGCACAGATAAGAAACTTCTTCCTTACTGTTATAGGAATATGGTGTTACACCAAAATATGTAATACAGAGAAACGAAGAAATGAAGAGAGCTCAGAAAGAATATGAGGACAGTATCTTGGAACATCTCAAGAAAAGAGCCATGAAACGGCTATCTGATGAAGAAAGGAGAAGTCTTTTGCAGGTGCATATTTTCATTTAGTGTAACTAGTAACATGTACAAAAGATTAATACGGTAATGTAAATCCATATAAATAATAAAGGTATACTAGACTTTTTAAGCGAGGCAAATGAGTTAGCTACTTTTTCACTAGATGGAGCTGCAGAACAGTAGTAAACTGAACTGAAGGAAGCTGACCTAGCTACAGCTTTAATATAGTTTTACAAGTACTTCAGTTCTATCAGATTCCTGTCCCCCTTAATGACTTGAAATTTCAGTGAAACTTCAGAGGAATGCAGAAAATCACCTATATGGATTTAGTGACAGTTTTCACTCTCTACTGGAACAATACAATTGCTTTTTTATTTTTATCTGATGCATAATATTGCCACTTTCATTGGCAGTTTCTGTGACCTCACTGACTGAAGGATAAGGTCCTGCTTTAAAATATGTCAAAAACAGAATTAAATTGTAATATAGTTGTAGAATTATGACTGGAAAAATTGTATGTTGTCAAGCTGGTTTGGATACTGTCTTTCATACAATTTTTATTGCATAAGATTTCTAAAGAGAAATAATACCATAAAAGAAGTGGAGCAGAAAAGAGAAAATTTTAAAGTATGTCCTTTGTATATCCTTGAACTGGAATTTCTTCTGAACACATTTTAGCCAAATTTCCTATGAAAATGAGTCTTACTGTAGTATCTGTTTATCAGTCTGCCCCTTAATAACTTGAAAACTGAAACAAATTAGCAGATGGAGGGACATCTCCAAGATGCTAAATTCCCACAAAAAAGACAGCAGAATATCTAGAGAGAAAACCCAGTGTCTGACTCACTTGCAAAGATTAACTGTTTAATTATCATGATCCAAAATAGCTAGCACAATGGTGTCTCTTGCTTATGCAGCAAGGAGTAGAAGCTAGGAAGGAGTATGGGAGAGAGGTGACGGTATTGCACTGACAGCAATATAAAGAACATAACAGTAAGGGTGAAGATTAAGATATTTTTATGGTGGGAAAGGCATGGGACAAGCTTATGGTCAAGCAAGTTAACTATGCAGCAAAAATATATGTGCAAAAAGGCATGTGAGTTCAGCTGCTCACAGTTCTGCGTTTAGTTTTATTAAAATGATGTTCTATATTTTTAAAATACAAGAAATACAATGCACTGAAATATTTTTTAATTGAAAAGGTTTTAATTTTTTTTATTAATTCAGGATTTTTCTTTTAAATTTTTCTAAAGACGTTTGCTTTTTCATGGGCCATATTACTTATCAGTTATATTGTGAGGAGGAATTAGTGCCCCCAGGGTATGTGGCTTCTGCTCAGTGCTCAGCTGGAGACATATGGGAATTCCTGTGTTTTAAAATTGACATTGCTAGCGAACACACGTGCACTCTCTGATTTGAAAGAATACGTGGCAATAGATGTCTGAGAACAAAATCAAGCATCATGAACTTACAAAAATAAAGGGAAATAGTTTGTGCCAACATTTTTTGAACTCTCTCTCCATCATGCTCACTTGGGTTTGAATTTTATGAGAATAAGAGAGTATGTTGATAAATGCAGTACAGATTTCTCACTGATCCAGCATGTATTAGAATTCCTTATATAGAGTTAGATATTCAGTTTGTGATCTAGCCCATAGCAATAGTGGTCAGTATATTACATTGCTGTCAGAGGAGCTGTGAGGGAGATTTTTACACAGGGAGTCATGATCTGCTTTTGATCTCTCTGCTCTGTAGGGATAGAATAAATTGTGATGAGTGCATGCTCTAATTTAAAACTCACTGTTTTCAGTGAGTTCCAAACCAGTTTTTAAGAATTTACACAAAGAATTATTATTTAAAAGAAGCTATGAATGACTATTCTGTTAAAGTTTTGGAAATACTGTATTTATTTTCATGACTATATATTTGTAAACTATACCTTACGCCTGGTAGACTAGGAGCTTTATTTAAAAGTACTTATCTTTGCAATCCAAAGCTGTAGCATTACAAGACAGTAAATAAATAGGCTTGTTGCTCTTAGTTTCACATGTTGAGGTAGAGTTTTTAAATTTATGTAGATATCTGTATATGAAGACTGTTGGAATAATCTTTATGGACAACACTTAGATGCTTAATATGAATATGCAACAAGCACAAATTGCTATGCAATAAATACACTGCTTCGAGTCAGTAAAATATTAGTTCATATTAAAAAGTATGTTTTTCTTATTGGCAGGGAGATGTCATTTTGTCTGTTAGATCAATTCATACAGGGGACAAAATCAGACAAGTTTTTAGGCATAAGAGTCCTTGAATTCTGAAATAGAAGCAACAATCTTCAAAGCTAAATATGTATTAAGAATAATTCCTCTAACTTCTGTATATTAATCAATTAGCCAATCTGTAAGAAAAGGTGCTTAATAATAGTGGAGAAGAAGGACCTGAGGTTGGAAATCACAACGTTGCATAAAATCTGTGTGTCAGTTGAATCCAGTTTTAGTTACAGAGGAGGGTTGAACACTTCAGTTCCCAAGAGAGTAACTTCAGTTCTTAATTTTTGAAGATACTTTGTGATTTCCTCTAAGGAAACAGAACTGAGAGCCAAAAACATTTTGGAAAAGTGTTTTCTCACTGATAGCTATGTTGTATTATTTACTGATTGCTGTATGAGTTCCTTGTGGTAGGTGTGATTATTATGTTCACCCATATATTTTTCGTGAGGACATTTGATGCACTGAATAAACTCTACTAAATCCTCATATATGCATGTATAGGATGTGTAGATTTTTATTATCCTCTTGAGGAGAGAAAGAGCGATTGTTGCAGTAATTGTGCAGATGTAAAGACAAGTCTTAAATTCTATTTTTCTACCACAGTCTGGTTCCTTTCAGCATACATTGGTGGATAAAAGTTTGTCTCTGATGTTGAATTAACAGGTTTATGACTATGTTTCAGATGATTGCATGGGGTTTTATAGGCAGAGTTTTAATCTTGGGCTTTTATATATGGAAGATAGAGTACACTTTATCTAGTAAGGTAATTCTTTGCATAGCAGCATTCAAGAGAGGTAGAAGTTCTTGAAATGATTGTTGATAGGGTCAGTGACAGCTAGGTTTTTTAGTCCAAATGATAAAGGAGTTACCCATAGATGTTATTGTAAATGTAGATTAGGAAGGGAATGCAATTATTTGGATTTTTTTCCAAGTAGTTCATAGAAGTTAAAATATTGTGGGATAAATTTGGTGTCCATCGTCTGAGCAAAGTCTCAATTACAAAAAATGAAGCTGGTGGTGAGATGAACTGAAACTGCCATTGAATTCTGTCTGGAGTTCCAAATATTGGTACTCTTGTGATTACTTAAGGTAGGTAACATCACTGTGTGTGACATTGTGATATCTCTGTTAGCCAGGTTGTTGTTTATGGGGAAGTGGTTTCTGCAGTGCAGTTTGTAAGATAATTCCTAAAAGAAGGCATTTGAGTGATACAAGTTTTGAGACAGTTTTTATGAGTCCTAGCAGTTCCTCACTGAGCATCCTAGCATTAGATACAATGGAGCAGCCAAAGTTGCCAACCTCTAGATCACTGAAAGCATGGAAACTCTCTTAGGTAGAATAAGGAAGAGTCACTCTTTATTTACCTTTTGCAGTTTTTCTCGAAGATAATGAGGAATGCAAATGAAGTGTACAGGCTTCTGTGAGTTCCTGGTAGGCTATAGAGTTGACTGTTAGTCACACTGATGTACTTTTTTTCAGTTTAGCATTTTTGTAGCTCATCATTCATTGGCTAGTTTAATTATTGTTTTGTTGCCTCTTAAAGACTAATTTTCTCTCTCCAAGGCACAGAGTTTTTTAAAGACCATTCCTTATATTGCATCAGAAAGAGTCAAAATTATATCTCTTGCAATTACTTTGACTTTTAAGCATTTAATTAATTTGGTCCAATTAAGATGATTAAACATTATCCATATATTTATCTATTATTTTAACATTGCAGCGACACTTAGCAAATGCAATATTAACAAAAAACCTGAAGTAGTTTATGTGCATGTTATTCTTAGGTTTTTCTCATATATTTCCTTTTCATGTAATGGCACTAGGGGCTGAAAAAGAACTGGGAGGAATTGTATCGTGAATTTCAAGGTCTTTCGGTAGAAATAGACACCATACCCAAGAAGATATATAAAGAAAAGCTGGAAACACAGATGAAACAACTGGAGCATGATATAGAAGTAATTGAGAAGCACAAAGTTATCTACATTGCAAATGAGTAAGGACTGTTTTTCGGATATTATCTTTTTCCTCCTTTTCTTTTTCTCTATACCTACATCTCCAAGATCTGCCCCCCTAAATTCTCTGAGGAAATTGACACCGCCAACTATTCAGAAGGAAATATTCAAACAATAAAGTACTTAGCTTCTTAGAAAAACTGTTACATACAGCTCTCATCTGTATAATTCACAAAATGTTTTGAAATAAAATCCTTAAAATTTGAATATAAAAACGTAAATTTAATTTTCTTTGTAATTTTTATTAACTACTAAGATTTCTATAAACATCATACAAAAAGCATAAAAAATCCTGTTTCATGTGTTTGGAGCACTTCTTTCCTTGCATAGCCAAAACAAAGTGAAATAATTGGCTGCTGAAGACAGCTTCGTAAATATAACTTCGGGGTGGATGGATTCTGGACTAGTTATTAAAGAGCTGTTGTGCTTTACTTAAAAGCTGGAGTGATTGTATTTCTAAACAGCTTGGTTTCTGCATAATGTTTTGTTTACTCGTTTTTTGTTACTGAAAACAACTTTTATAGCAGAAGCCTATAATATAGACTTCATGCAATACAGATACCACATATAGCTTGCTCTGTGTGTTTATGTATAAACATTTCTGTAACACTATAGTAAATCTGCAACTAAAGTAGAAAAATGTGTTTTGATTGCTATTACGTGTATAATGTTAGACTGAAAGCAATATACTAGCATGTGAGTCGAGGCAGAAAATGTATCAGCACACTATACTGCAATTATTTGCATAAAAAGAAATATTCTTTTTCTTTCCTGCTGCTTACCTTTGGCTTCAGAACACAGCTTTTTCTGTATGGTATCAATCATTACCACCAGCAGCTGTTGTGACATCGTAGTATCTGACATCAGCAGAGAAGGAAGTAAAAAATTTCAAATGAACTATTAAAAGCCAAATTTTCTCATACTTGAAGTTCCTTTCATAAATTTGTCAGGGAATGGCTTTGAAGACTTCACAGTGATTCTAGGCTATATTTCTCGTGCATCTTAAAATTGTCTATGACATGCACTAGGAAAGCGTGGGTGAGCACGAATGTGTATTTTATTCTTTGCAACTTATTGTTAAGCAATCATATTTATTTTTGAAAGATATAAGCTAGAAGAAAGCTGTGGTTTTGTAAAATGCAAATTTCATTTACTGTTTAATCAAAAGAATGAGTTGTACTGTATATTTTAACAAAACCACACCAATTATAAGCACTTAATAACATGTCACATTATCTCCTAGTGAAGTACAAGATGCCTTTCTTAAGAAATGCAGTGTAATCACACATGGCTGTTTCTTGTGGCTTAAAATAAAAAAACAAGATTTGACTCAAAACCAGCATGCATTCCCACAGCTGCGCTCTCAGCTTTTAGTAGACCATTTGGCTGAGTTAGGTTCAGGATCTGGATTTGGTTCTTACATTTATCATCAGTGTGAACTTCATGGAAATGCAAAGTAGGTGATGGCCTATCCCACAATTTGGGACAAGCAACTAGGCCACACATGAAACATTCGTCATTTGCTGGTAATAATGACTTTTTTTTTAAATTGTCAGGCGGATATTAGTATATTACTGGGAAGTGAGGAACTGAATCTAACAACACTTTTGATTATGGAAAAGTATAATGAAAACCATTGAAAGTACACACAGAAGGATAACATTCTTGCACTTTAACTCTCTCTGGGAAGTTTGACAAAATAAATTTCCAGCATCCAAAGAATTTAACTCTATTTATATGTTCAGGAAATGCCAATAATTGAAGGTGTAATGTTCATGAATCAACTAATATGTACCATCAAGTATAACTAACTCAAAAAGGTGAGTAAACTCAATTGTTCTGATAGAATTGTTCCTTCATAAAATATATTAAATATTAGCAGAAACAAGTCTCAAATTGTTTTTATTGGGCAGCTTTTCTCCAGCTTGTATTTTCAGAACTGTAAGTCCCGAATATGATAATCTGTTTCTGGAACTCCTTAGAGCCAAGTCAGGCTGAGACCCAGTTCTGCAGACCTGAGAGTAGAACTTTTGCTGTGATATTTTGAAACAAAAGGAAATTATAATGTTCTTTAGTTTAAAAAAAAATGTTTTAAGCTGTCTTCTTGATTTAAAAAACCCCACTAGTGTATAAAAACATACCATCTCAGACATTTCTTAACATCTTAATTTAACACTAAGATGTCTCTTAATTAGTTTTCAGGAGGAGCTTCCAACCTCCCCCATCTTTACTATGGCATTTTTACTGTGACACAAGCTGCTCGAAGTTTTACTGGGTTTTCAAACATATTCTGAGCACTTGCTGAGGGTGCAAGTTGTGTAATTAAGCAAATGTGTTAAGTATGCAATTTAAACTTATTGGTGCCAGTGGTAACCTTTCTACTGACTGTGACCAGCTGGCAGATGAGTTAAAAAAAAAAAAAAAAAAAGGAAAAGTTAAAATCCTCAAGATTGATCAAACACTTTCCAACAAACAACGGTGTTTGGAATACACTATTTTTTTACATTTCTTTTTTCCACATTTGGTCTTTCCAAACCATAATTTTCAGGTGTTTCACCTTCACAGATAGACCATAGAATTACACTAGCCCTAGCTGGAATAGGGTTTAGTCTTCAGAAATTCAATACATTCTTCCAAATATAAAAGTAAAGTTTCAACAAAATTGTCAGTTGTGATCTATCTCTAAAACAGACCTAAATCACACAAGCTGTGGCACTTAACACCTTTCTGTAGTTAAGTTTCAACTTCATTCTGCAAAATCGGCCACCACTATGGGAGTTCAGTCCACAGGCTAAAAAGTACCATTGCCAGTTGAAATTTTCTCTAAACTAGTCAATTACTGATAAACAATGAAATAATAAGAAAGAAAATAACCAAAATACTTCTAGCACTTTATTTTTTCAAAGTGGTATTTTAATGGTCCGTATTAAAATGCTAACCATCATAAACCACATGCTAAACGGGGTATGAGTGCTTTATTGGTCAGTAATATATATGTTGTCACAAACTGAAAATATTTCCTGTTGGAAGTTGTGCATGACAAAACTGTGTATCTATTATTTAAAAATAGCAACATGAAATTATGCTAAATATCTCGCTGGCTGTTCTTCAGAATGAAACTATTTATGTCCAGGAAGGAAGGGATCAGATATGGCATCGTCACAAACACAGGGAGTTCCTGATTTTATGGCTCCGATAGAGCCGCCTTGGGCGACATCAGATCTGACAGGAGCATGTGGGCTCCATGTGGCTGGTCTCAAAGCATGGTGGGTCCTTGGGCTCTGCATGCATTCCTGGGGACTAAGTCTGGGACAGTTCCTCAAAATCTTTCTTGCACAGAGGTAACCTCATTCCCCTCATGAAACCGTAAGGGCAGAATTCTGTGGGAGAAATAATATGTGAGAAATTCCTCACTGATTTGATTTTCCTTGGTTTCTGTAGGTGGGTTTTATTACAGGAGGGCATGTTCTGTCCCCTTGTATATTTTTGTGAAAAATTGTCATTACAAACTGCTGTTGTGAGCACTCTTCCACAAAGCTAAAATCTAGCACTTTCACTGTCTTAGGTTTCAGGGAAAACTACGTATCTAAGCATTTCAGCCCTCATGAAGGCAGACATCTTTCAGATAAGAAAACTTCACAAATATGCAGATTAATGGGAGTACTGGATAAATCCTAGTCCCAGTCAATGCTTTCATCCTCAGCTTTATGATGCCTATAATATTAATAACATAATTACAGGAGAGACAGGTGGCAAAACCTGTTATTAAGGTTACGTGACATTTCCCAAAGCCAGGGAAGCCAGCTGCTGAGCCCTGCAGCTGAGTGGGATCATCCACCCCAGTAACAAGAGGCATATTGAGCCTGACCAAGCAGAGGACTGGCCATTTTTTCCCCATGAGTGAACATCTGAGGTAGCGATCTATACTTGACTACTGAATGCCTAGATTGTTGCTTTTTTTTAAATTCTGCCTTGATCTCGCTCAAGCTCCTTTTTGTATGCAGTGTTAGGTAAACAAAATACGAGCAAATTCAGGGTTTTCATCCTCCAGGCTAGGCAGTGGCATTATGGTAGGGACACAAGATGAGACAAGTTTCATTTGTGTTTTTTTCTTTTTTAATGTTTAAAGGATGCTGAGGTAAATGTGACTTCCATTTCACCAAGTTATAAAAAAGATAATTTTTTTTCTGTACTTCCAACAAATGGTTGTAGATGAGCAGGCATAGCCGAATAGTGCACTCCATTCATGTCTTGACGCTGCTATGACATGAGGATGACCTCCTGTTCAGTCACAGTACTAGTCTGTGTTGTTAATTTGTTACTCCATGCCTACCTCCACATTGACTCTACAGCATGTAAAAATTCATACAAACATGCAAACAAGGGAATAATTTTGTCTTCAAATCATTCCTCAAATGTTCTTTGCAATGGTGCCCACCAAAAATTTACCAACAGCTGAGCTGCTGCTGAGCTGAGCTAAGGCTTATCTCACTGACCTGTGCAGTTTCCTTGAACTCCCCTGGCATGGTAGACAGTTGTTCCTTGTTTTAGGATTAGATTGTAAGTTATCTGTCATGTGGATCATCTTTTTCTCTCTTTGCTTAGTGTCTGACACAATAAAATTTTTTTCTGTAAGTAGAGCTCCTACATGCTTATAATAATAATAATTATGATCATCTGGGGATGAATTAAGACCAGGCAGTAAAGGGAACGGATTCAAGTTGTTTATTAAAAGGATCTGTTTTCCAAGAACTCTCATCTCATTTGTTTCAGCAACTGGAAAGTAGGAGTTGAAGGAAGAGAAATGAGATTTAAAGCACTTAACTTATTCCCTGGAGCAATATTATTTATTTATGTCTTTGTCATAGAGTGTTTTTGAAATATATCTGGCTTTTTCACTGGTAGCTATTAATACTGTATTTCTAATTTTTGGGGTTCCTGACTTCTGCAATTTGAGCCTGTATATTTTAAATACAGGATATAAGTGCCTAAAGTTATAAGCTGTGCTTTGAACCTAGACAGTGCTATATAATAGTTCAAAAGCTATTGTCCCAAACCAGTCACTGAAAATTAATGAAATTAATGTTTAATTTACTCGTGCTAGGTGAGTGCCCCATATGGAAAATTCAGGTGAC